AAATTTTAAATACATTAAAGTGATAATCTTAATCATTTTCCAATTTGGGTGGTCATTTTCGACACAAATTCCCCAAAAGAGAGAGAGAGAGAGAGAAAAAGATGGAAAATTTTTTTTTTGTCCAGAAAATTCTAAATTAAAACAATTTATTAAAAAAAAAATGGAGTATAATTTTATAACTTTCACTCATATTTATTTACTTTTATTCCTAAACCTAATTGTCAGCCATTACATTTAATAATAATAACGTTTTTTTTTTTTTTTTTTTTTTATAGAAACGAAAAAGGGAAAGAAAAAGAAAAATTATTATTATTATTATACTCCATGCTGGTAAGTAATTATTATTATTATTATCATTTTTTTTTTTTTTTCAAATCCGGAAACGTGACAAACGAAACTAGGTTATTATAACTAAAATATATACGGAATAAAAATCGAAAAATAAAAATAAAAACGGATACGATTTCATTTTTAAAAAATTAGCCAAAAAACATGATTGGTTGTTGTAAACATGATGAAAGTGAATGATACGAAATCAATATATAATAATAATAATAATAATAATAACAATAATAATAATAATTTTTTTCCTTTATCGTTGTTAAAAAAAAAGCAATGGAATACTCATACTCGACTGACACATCATCAAAGTCCAAAAAAAAAAAAAAAAAAATTACAATCATAGTCATGACGATGATACTCAAACACACACACGCACTCACACACAAACAAACAAACAAACAAACAAGCAAACAATATCAAGAAATGGGAAAATCATTGTGAGACAATAGAGGAAGCAAACAACATTTAACACCTATCCGAAAAGAAGAAGTTAACTACCTAGCTACCCAGCTACCTACCTACCTACCTATGACCTTTTCTTATTACAAAAATTTTTTTTAATTAGTTTAAGGGGGCGTTCAACTTGTAAAAAAAAACTTAATAATAATAATAATAATACATTATAAAATTATTTAACGCCAATAATTAAAATAATAATGAATTCTCATAAAGTTTACAAGAGAAAGAGAGAGAGAAAGAGAAAGAGAGAGAGAGAGAGAGAAAGAGAGAGAGAGAGAGAGAGAGAGAGAGAAAGAGAGAGAGAGAGAGAGAGAGAGAGAGAAAGAGAGAGAGAGAGAGAGAGAGAGAGAGAGGGAGGGGGGAAATCATGTACTGAAATAAGTAATTATAAATTAATTTTGCAACAAAACGGAGGAGTAATTAAAAATTCACACGTGGGACTCGGTAATAATAATAATAATAATAATAATAATAATAATAATAATAATACATTTAAATTATAATTAAAATATATAAACTGTAAATTTCTTGAAAATTTAATTTAATTTAATTTAATTTAATTTACTACTCACTCTTTTATTCCATGGGTAAATTATTTATTACTTAATTAAATTTAGTATTTAAAATTATTATTATTATTATTATTACTATTATTATTATTATTATTATTATTATTACTACTACTTTTCATACAACTAGCAAAAAAAAAAAAAAAAAAGAAAGAAAGAAAGACTGTTTGATTCGAAATAGTTCTTCACACTTACCCTCCCCACACACACACACACACACACACACTCGATCCTTTTTTTACATGGATACATAAAAGACATTCGATAACATAAATAATTATTTAAAATACATAACTCATCATAAAAAATTAATTAATAATAAAGATTATTAAATAAGAGGAGATGGAAAAACACACCATGATTTGTCTTATCGAATTGCATAAATTTGATTTATCTACATAATTACCCCTAATTCGAAAAGTAAATAAAAGATAATAACTGCCATCGATTTCTGTAATTATTATTATTATTATTAAATATTCATGTAATTTAAACAGAGAACAAGTTAACAGAACAACAAATAACAAAATTATGTATGTATGTAAATAATTAACAGAAATGATTATTCGAATTGTTTTGGTTAAATGACATCATTACGAAAAAATTTTGTGGAATTGAGAAAATAAATCACAAATGACAATACATAAAATAAATTTAAAAGAATTAATTATATTATCCCAACAATTCTTGGAAAGATGCTTTACATTAAAATAAAATTTTTCAAAAAAAAAAAAAAAAAACCAAACAAAGTTCAACAAACTTGAACGATTCAAAATAAGATTAAAATAAATAATAATAATAATAATAATAATATTGTTTGAAAATAAACTAAACTAATCAAAATAAACTTAGATACATTGGTGGAAAAATATGTTTTATTTACTTTATTTATTATTTTCAATAGATAAATAATAACTAATCGAAAACAATATATATATATATACTTATTGAAATCGAGTAACTAAAGTACTAATAAAAATATCGATAAATTTTCCTTTTTTAAAAGGTTTTTAATAATAGAAAAATTTGTATAACTCAGTTGGAAAATAAAAGGAATAGAAAATTATAAGTATTGATAAAAGTACCCATTGGAATTTTTTAGAAAATCAATCATCAGAACATTTCACATTATTTGTGAAAGAGAAAAAAAAAAAAAAAAAAATTTTGAATCATGGCGTTTATCACACAATTAATAATGATTTCTAAGAAATATTGATTAATGTAATATCACAAAAGTAACAAACAGAAAAAAAAAAAAAAACAATTATTCGACACGTTAATAAATTCTTTTTTATTGTGATTTTAATTAATTAAAATAAAATTTCGAATCTAAATTTAACCGATTCACACAAATCCTTTCATACATCTCAGTGGGAGATATTTTTATACATTATTAATCAATTTTTATATTACCGTATTTTTAAATATGGCTTTACTTCACAAACATATTTTTTTACATTCGAAAGTTACCAATAATTATAATAAATACACACAAATGCATTAATATACATAAAGATATTATTAATTAAAAGTCAGCAGCTTACCTAGTAGGTCATTGATCCGCCATTTTGCTTAAATTTAGAAAATATGGTTAATATATTTTTATTAAATTTTTTTTCTTTTTTAAGCGACACTTAAAACCGTAAAAACAATTTTTAATTGTAAAATATCCGATTTGAAAAATATAAAAATAAACTTTAAAAAAAAAATGAAAACAATTAAATCAAGATATAGAAAAATCACAACGAAACAAAATTAAACGTTCCTAACTCATTCACATTCTATTATGTTCTAAACAGCTGTCTTACAGATTCGGTTGATGATAATCGCTACCAACTTAAATAAGTTTAAAAAAAAAAACTTACAGCATGACCAACTTAAAAATGTCTTCTACGTTTTAATTTAACTCATTCGTGATGATATTCCAATCCTTTCGTTTAATTTTTTTTTTTTTTAAATAAACCAAACATATTTAATTATTAACAGAAATGTTTCTTTTTGTTAATTTTATTTATTTTTTATAATGAGAAAAAAAAAGAATAAAATGTCAGCCATCTTGAAGATAATTATTGGGGGGGGGGGGGGAATTTACTAATCATTGACAAACTTGATGGAGATTTCTTTATAAAAATTAAATTAAAAAAAAAAACAAATATTCATTTGATAAATTCAAATTTATTTATTTATAATCAAATACATTGTATTTTAAATGTTTTTTTTTTAGTTTTTTTTTTTTTTTTTTTTTAAATTTTAATCAAACAAAACAATCCAGAGATAGATTTTTTTTTATTGGGGCTATCTTCAAAAAAAAATTTCATATATATATATATATATATATTAATTATAAAAATCATGAGAAGACGATGGGTTTAAACTTTTTGTACTATCAAAATGGTTTGTCTAAAAGAAAGAAAGAAAGAAAAGAAAAATAGAATTCAGAGTGGGTGAAAATATTTTAAAAAACGATACAAAAAACATATTAATAATAATAATAATAACATTAACACAATAATCAACTACTTTATTTTTATTTTCTACTTTTATTATTACCCCAATGAGAGAGAGAGAGAGAGAGCCATATTTATTTTATGTTTAAAAATACAAATAATAATAATAATAATAAAACAATCCGAATTATTAATATTTAAAAAAAAAAAAAAAAAAAAAAAAAATTTACAAAATTTTTACAAGAATCATTTGATCTCTTTATCTATTTTCACTATTTTGAAAAAAAATTTTTTTTTTTTTTTTTTTGTAAAAATTATACAATTTTACCAATGATGACGTCAACAATTACGTCATCACCATAAACATTAAATAATGTCCATTGTAGACTGTTGAACTTTCGACATGTTATTTCATACGTATAAAAAATTTATCTCAATTTACATAACGCAATGATCGAAACGTAATTTAACCAATCTAAAATACCAATAATAATAATAATAATAATAATAATAATAATAATAGTGATAATAATAACTGAGCAAAGTATAAAAATTCACATAAGGCATAATAAAATCAAGCCTCTTATTTTAGGAAAAAAAAAGTACAAAACAATACAAAAAGTAATTTTTACATATCGAAAAAACAAAAAAAAAAAAAAAAACATTTTTATATATAAATAATATTTTATAAAAATTATAAATTTGACCGTTTTTTTCCAAAAATACGTCTCATAATGATGATAAATTTCATACTGTAAAAATCATTTTTCTATTTACCCGACAATTACTTTAATTAATTAATTATAAAACGGAAAATTATTATAAAATTTAAAAGTGCGTCAATATTCGAATTTTTGCGTGTGCGTGCGTGCGCATGCGCGAAATTAGTAAAAAAAAATTTTCCAACAAAAAAAAAAAAAAAATTACAAAAGAAAAAAAAAATTTTTTCCAGGGGCAAATGGCTGGCTACCCCACCCACTTCTCATTGTTTTGTTTTGTTTTGTTTTTATAACGATTGTGTTGTTGTTGTTGTATAAACACACCATGTATTCGATTATGTTTTATGTTTTTCTTATTGAGCGAATGACTGACTGACTGATTGATTGATTGACTAACTAACTAATGTTACAGACAGTATGATATAATAATAATAACAATTATTATTATTATTATTATTTTGTAATTAAATTGCTGCTCGTACTTTTTGCCTTTGAGTATTTGATTTTTGAAATATGCTATCGATTTCGCTGAAAACATCTCCCGCCGGTTTCGATGCATCTACTTTATAATGAACACCTGAAACGGGATACATAATACCTTATTACAGGATACATAATTCAAAAAAAAACTTGAAACAAGTGTCAGAGAGAGAGAGAGAGAGAAAGAGAGACAGAGAGAGCATCGATAATGATACCTGTCAGAATATATTTGAATTTGATTAAATTTTAAACTTATTCAATGGCACTCATTTGAAATTACATGAAAATGAATACAAAATAAAATAAAATAAAATAAATAAATAAAAATTATGACGTCATCATTTACCTTTTATCGTATAATAATCTACCAACGGTTTTGTTTGCTTGTGATAAGCTTCCAGCCTTTTTTTCAAAGCGTCTACATTGTCGTCTGATCTTTTCACTAGAGGTTCTCCAGTTAGCTAAAAACACAAACATAAAACACATACATAAAAACGGTCATGAAATGCAAAACAAAAAAATAATAAATAAATAAATAAATAAATTTATCTTACGTCATCTTTCATGGCAACCAAAGGAGGATGAAATTCTTCATGATATGAACGTCCACTCGGGGGATGAATTAATCTTCCTGTGATTCTTCTTACCAAACTATCATCAGGTATGGAAAATTCAATAACAGCATCCAGATTTTTTTCTTTAAACAAACAAAAAAACAAAATAATAATGATAATCCAATGTTGTTGTAATATTCCATTGATTTATTAATAAAAATAAATAAAACACACAAATAAATGTAGAATGCCAAAAAAAAATAAAAAAACTTTTAACATAAAAATAAAATTATTTATTAATAAGATGTGCCAACATGTGTGGGATTGTTATTCGATATTTAATGATAATAATAATAATGATAATAAAACTATTTGAAAAAAAAAAAAAAAACAAACACTCGTTAATTTCCCTACTTAATCAAATGGGATTCAATCCAATCTACCGTTCAATGATAATCAATTATAATTAATTATTATTATTATTATTATTATTATAAATAAATTAAGGTCTAGGTCAAATGGGTAGGTTTCACTTTCACAAAACAATCAAAATATTGTTTTTTTTTTTTGGGTGTACAAAATGCTAAATAGTTTAAAAATAAATTTCCCCCCCCCCATTTTATCCTTCGATTAAAAATGTCACAATTAATTGAATGTCGTTATTAAAGTCATTAAAATAATGTTTTATTATTATTATTATTATTATTATTATGAAAACTTTTATTTTTCTCTCTTAAAATAATAATAATAATAAATCGTGTAATGACTTGTTTTTATTACTTTCAAATCGTATAAAACGAAATGAAATATAATGACATGTTATTATCATACTCCATTTTTTTTTTTTGGTTCGTTCTTCTTTTAAGTCGAGCTTATTATTATTATTATTATTTGGATAATTGAAATGTAATCTTTTTTTTTTTTTTTTCATTTTATTTTTGTGATAAGTTAGTTTAGAATGTCCTTGATGTACAAAAAAAATTAAATCTCGGTTTTTTTTGTTAAACATTCCTGCCAGAAACATTTCCTTCATATGTATAAATGTCCTTTTTATTTTACACTACCTTGACCTTACATGCTTCTCGATACATTCGACTAAAAATATATATTCATTCTGATATATTTTTAAAAATATTTGAAATGTTATCAGATTAATATAATAATTAAATTAATTATATTTGATAATTTGGCGTCGTAAAAAATGGAGTATGTAACATCTATAGATAATATTATACAATTAATTATTAGAAAAAATTTTAATAATATGATAATGGAATATCTAAGAGTATATAAACTTTCACCTTTGACGATGATGATAATAATAATTAGATAATTATTATTAGAATAATGATGTAAAATAAAACTTACTTTTTTTTTCCAACAAAGCATCTAATTTTTCTGCTTGAGGAACGGTACGCGGGAATCCATCGAGCAACCAACCATTTTTACATTCCGGTTTATCCATATTAGTATCAATTAATTCGACAACGAGTTCATCGGATACCAATTTACCTTCGTCCATTGTTTTTTTTAATTCTTTTCCAAGGCTCGAACCTGTTGCGATTTCAGCTCTAAGCATATCTCCCGTCGATAAATGACACACGCAAAATTTTTTAACCAAGAGTGGTGCCTGTAACAAAACGTGAATTTTAAATTTTTTTTTTTTTTTTTTTAGGTATTCAGATGAGTATTTTATTAAAAAAAGAGAGAGAGAGAGAGAGATAAAAAATAAATAAATATTAACCTGAGTTCCTTTTCCAGAGCCGGGTGGCCCCAAAAGTATGGCATTAATGCCATTTGTTTGACCACGTTCCATCGGTACACCCATTATTGATTCGACTGTGCTGTAAGTAAGATAAGTCGACGTGTAAACTTCAACTTATAGCAGAAGATATTTTAACGACGCAGGTTGTTCAACTTGTGAAAAATTATTTTTATCGACAAAATGCCAACGTAAATTTACTTTATGTAAAACGCATTAACATTTTTTTTTTTCATGTCGAATACTAAAATATAAAAACTAACGATCCGGAATATTTAAAAAAAAAAAAAAAAAAAAAACTTTTAATTTATAACCGTAACGAATTTCTTATTATTCCATATCCGAATTATTTATTTATTTTTTCTACTATTATTAATTAACCAAATAATTTTTATTTAAAAAAAAAACCCGTCATCATTATTATTATTTTAAGAAAAAAGAAAATTCACAGTAGATAAATTTTTTTTTTTTTAATAAAAATCAACACGTAATAAAAAAAAAAATAATAATAATAATAATAAAATTCTTTTCTAACGAGTAATAAAAAAAGTTATTTTTACCTTTCATCAACAATATCTTCGGTATCAGACATTTTAAATTCTTTTTATTTTTATAATTTTTACGTGAGTTTATTCACAAAAACAAAAAAAAAACATTTTTAATAAAAATTTATATTCCGATTATGATGTAATCCCAATTATTTATTATAAAAAAAAAAAAAACGTTTTTTCTAGAAAATTCTAAGCTTTTCGATGTTGTAAGTAACACACACGCAAATGATTGTTCCACTTTTTATTATGATCGATAACTAAAAATCGATGTTCCAGGTTAAAACGTTGACAAAATTCTCAAATTATTTTCCGCCATTTTAATTTCAAACGTTTATGTCTCAAATTCCAACAACATTTTTTTTTTTTTAATTTAACGATATGAATTATTTATTTAACACAATTCTTTATTACTTATTTAACAAAAAGAAAAACTATTTATTTAATTAATTAATTAATTATTTAATTAAATTGTAATAAAACGATTCCTTTTTGAATATAATCTAACAACACCGAACCCAATTCTCACCACATTTGAAAAAAAACCGTTTCGAACGTGACGTCATAGAGTTCAAACTTACGCCGTTTAATTAATTAATTCATTTATTTAACGAAATACTTAATAATTAAATAAAATATTTTGAAATTTATTTATTTATTAATTTTTTTAAATAATTAAAGACGTTTTTTAATTTAATAACGCGGCATAAATTAAAAAAAAACAATAATAATAATAACCGACAATTGTAATGTACTGATGACGTAATAGACTTCGTAACGTTTTTTTTTTTTATTGGCGGGGAATCAGAAGAAGAAATAAAAAATTTAATTTTATTGCGTGACGTCACATAATTAATTAATTTTCAATCGTTAATAACAAAATTAAATTATTTAAACAATTTTCTTCGCGAAAATTTAATTTAAAATGAATTTTCACACGTCATAGAGGAAAAAATTTTTTAGCATTACGTCATCATTCCCCTATCGAAAACAGGATTATATACATAAATGAATAAAAATCATTTTCAAGTTTTCAAATCGTTAATTAATTATAGTTATTATTATTATTTTCTAAATATAACTAATTTATATATTTTTTCTTTGCAATTTCAAATCAAATTAATTTTTTTTAAAAAACAACAACAACAACAACAACAACAATCTGTTATTGAAAAAAAAAACAAAAAAAAAAAATAAAAAAAACATTCGGGGATATTGCGTTTGTGTTAACGTGGATATAACGGGTGCGGATTTAACGAAGGAAGTGCGAGATTTAAATGAAGCGTACGTGACTCATAAACTTGGATAATAATTTGAGGATGGTAAATAATAATAATAATAATAATATTAAATAACGGAAAACGAACAAACAAACAGAGAAACAAACGATCGCAAATTTCTCAAAACGACTGCGAGAAAGAACAAAATAATATATATATATAAACAAAAAACAAAATGAAGCAATTCTAATTATTATTATTATTATTATTAATAACTATATATTTTTTTCTATATATATATATTAATTTTTATTAATCTTTTTCTAATAATTACTTCATTTTCCAAATCACGTGATCTTATAACATGTGTATACATAAATATATACACCTCGCAATCTTTATGAAATTCCCTCCCCTCCCCTCCCCTCCCCCCAAAAGTTTTGACTTCTCATTTATTGATTGGGTGGTTACCGTGATGACGATGACAATAATGATTATGTATCGTTATAATAATAATAATAATAACGTTAACAAAAACATTATTTAAAAAAAAAAAAAATGTCACCTTCATCTCAACACTATACATATCAAATCATTTGCATCAACAAATCGATAATCCATCATCATCATCATCATCATCATCATCATCATCATTATTATTATTATTATTATTATTATTATTAATAAATAAATGAACAACTCGAATGCGGTTTAATGTTTGGCGGTGTATTATTATTTTAATTATTATTATTATTATTATTTTACACTAGTTCATGTTTTCTAATTTTATTTAAATTTGATTAGTGAATGATTGGTTGTTTGATCGGTTGGTTGTTTGTTTGATTGATTGATTGGTTGATCGGTTGGTTGTTTGGTTGGTTGTTTGTTTGGAAGATTGATTGGAGGGTTGTTTCGTTTCTCAACTTTTTTTTTTTTTTTTTTATTTACTGCTTTTTATGCATTTATTTATTTATTTACTTGAGTTCTCTTTCGATCTTGATGAGTTCGGCGATTCCGTCGTGCATTTCTTTCACGGCTTCGTATTCCGTCAAACCCATACGTCTCTTGTTTGAAATGTCGTAAACTCCACCTTCGGCTTCGGTGTGTTCACCTCGAGTACCACGAACCTACGATTCACGAAAACAAAACAAAAAATTTAACCGATACATAATAATAATAATAATAATAATAATAATGACGTCTTATTAGTACTCACCTGCAAGTTAAACTTTCCGGCTACTTCTTCCAATTTTGCTCTGTTGGCTGCTAATTTGGGTAATTTAATGTGAACCGAAGCTCGTACGGTCGTACCTAAATTGGTCGGACAGAAAGTGAGGAAACCGAGACGGTCGTGATGAGAGAACGGAATTCTCTTTTCGACGTCGTTGACGGCACTTACCAAACGACGGTAAACCTAAAATTTTAAAAATTCATCGAGAGACTTTATGTAAACCAAACAGGTACGCGAAAAATCCTCTCGGGGGGGGGGGTCAAACAAGAAGAAAAGAAAGAAGAAGGAAATACTCACGGCTCCCAAATCGCCACCGGGTTGCATTGAAATAAGACGAAGGTGATCTTCCTCGTTGCACCAAACCAAAAATGTTTTGTCGTCGTTGTGGTAAATACCACGACCGGTCGGCCAGAAACGACAAGCGTTGGCAGCCTAAAATGATGGGAAAAATTATTATTATTATTATTTTTCCTTTCGAAAAACCAACGGATCCGACCCGACGGAAACATACCTGCAAGAAACGATCACCTTCTTTGAAAAGAAAATGATCGTCGATCAATTTTTGCTGTACTTCTTTCGACATTCCCGTGAGGGGGTAAAAGGAACCCTTCAATTCTCCCGTCAAAGCGGACAAAGTTGATGAAACTTTTTCTTCCATTTCCTTGTATTGAGCTTCCGTTAAACACGGGTTGAATGGATAACCCTGAAAATTATCGTCATCATCATTTGTCAAAAATTTTCCAACTCATCTCGAAGGAAAGAAAAATGGTGGAAATTCATTTACCTCCATGGATCGACCGCATCGAACTCTCGTCGAAATGACAAATTCCGAAGTGGGGTCCAAGTTTCCCAAAGAGTTGACATCGCCCCAATCCTTGGGTGGATGCTTGTCAGTCTTCTTGAATCCTCCGTGGTAGTCTTCGATGATGGGATCGAACAAATCGGCGAAAACGCTGTAGGATTCAGCATCGGGAGCGTAGATACCGACACCGGAGTCGGGATTTTCAACACCTGCACGCAAAACCAATCCAATCAATCAATCAATCAATCATTCACTCACTCGAGAGAGAGAGAGAGAAAAGGGTGTGTGTGTGACTCGTTCGAATTTGCAAATTTTCGGGCGTTTCTTTTTCATCGTTGACCTCATATAAAGGTCGGGGGAACCGTGACCGTCACACAAAATTAAACTTTTTCGATGGAGGGGAACCGTTTCAAAGTCCCTCCCTCCCTTCCCTCTCTCCCTCCCCTCTCGCACCACCCCCCCCAAACAAACAATGAAGCAACTCACCGGATTGAATGACGTCCAAAAGACTGGAATTGAATGACGTCTTCTTCGTTTTCAACTTGTCGAAAATTTCTTGGGTGAGATATTTTTTAAGTAGAGATTTCGACTCGGTCGCACACAATTTCTTCCATGCGGCTTCGAGTTTTTCCAAAACTGCGGGCTCAACCATATTGACTTCTCTGGAACGAGGACAAAGAAAAAAAAAAAAAAAAAAAAAAAAAAAAAATTTTTTTTAAAAAAAAATGAAAACGCAATAAATAATTTTTAAATCCCTCCTTTCCTCCGCCCCCCCCTCTCTCTCTCTCTCCTTCTCTCCTTCTCTCTCTTTTGTGAAATTTAAACGAGTGGATCAAAGAGCTTCTGCTGTTGCTGCTGCCACTACCACTACCACCACTACTACCACTTTTACCGTTGACCCTTTCGCGTTCATCAACCTTTTTCGAAACTTTAGACTTTTTTTGGGGGGATTTTTGAACTTTTATAGGGTTGTTATCATCATCACCTTAACCACAAACGACAACAAACAAAAAAATAACACACTTGCAGGATAAAATTTCACGAGAACAAGGCAAAACAACAAAACAAAACGAAACATCAACAAACAACGTCCTCCTCCTCCCTCCCTCCCTCTCCTTAAACAACCATAAAAGAGAAAGAAAGAGAGAAATAATAATAATAATAAAATCGTGACGCGTAGTCTGGCTTTGTAGATTTTTTTTTTTTTTTTTTTTCAACGTTACAAATGTTGACCCGGGTCCTGAACATATCTGGGACGGGTTATTCACCCATTTCTCCTCCCCTCCCCTCCCCACCCCACGACTCCCGCGATAATGGTAAAAAAAAAAAAAAAAAGGAAAAAAAGAAAGTCGAATACCTCATTTCGAATATGGATGCTATATGCGAGAATATCAAATTGCAAATTATTGAAAATGGAAAAATCCACATTTTTCACGCTTGTTTGACTTTTGTTTTCCTTTTCGGGGAAGGAGGAAGAGGAAGATTAGGAGTAGGAGTAGGAGTAGGAGGAGGAGGACAAGGAGGGGATTTCGTTCGTTCGTTCGTTCGTTTTCAATCACACCCTTTTTCAATTATTCCGTTTCCGTATCCGTTTTCCGATTGGGGATAAGACAAAGATTTTGTACGAGTCGTCGACGACAAAAAAATTTGTTGACGAAAACTAAAAAAAAAATAGAAAAGAAATAAATAACAACCTCCATTTTTCATTTACCTTTCGTTCTCTTCTTCGACGACTTCTTCGCTTGCACTTTCATCGACAACGACAACACTTTCCGCGGCTCCCAATTTTTCTTCAACGGCTCTTAATTTTTCTTTTGACACGCACCCGCCCATTTCTCAAAATACTACTGATAATAATAATAATAATAATGATAATATTTTTCCACCCCACCCCCTTTATTTACAAACTAAATCCTTCCGTTGTAAGAAATGTAAGAGTCGAGTTTGAAAAAAACGTCCTTTTTTTCCAACGGCTTTCCTTTCCTTTACAAACTTATCATCATCATCATCATCATTATTATCATTATGCTAAAAATCAATATTTTTCCTACAACTTGAAACGTTAAAAAAAAAATAATAATAATTTTTTTTGGTACAAATCACCACCCACCAACCGCGACCAAAACCAAAACCGGTTTCCAAAGATGCAACCGAACGAAAATAATAATAATAATAATAATAATAACAGTATAAAAGGTAAAAGAAGAGAAAGAAGAGAAAAAAAAAACTACTAAAACGAATCCTTCCTTCCTTCCTTCTTCTTCTAGAACAATTTGTGGAAAAGAAAATACGTCGTTCTCCTTCACTCTTACGACAATCAATGAGTTATATATCGACTCGTTTTCCCATTTTCCATTATACTTCGATTATTATTATTATTATCACATTTAAATCGATTATCAATAAAAAAAAATTTCATCGAATGGGCCTCCAAAATACACAAACGCATCAAAACTCATTATCATTGCCGATTAAATTTACCCTCGTTTCGTGAAATTACCCCACCTACCGGCTCCCCGCTCCCCCTCCGGCAATTACAATAATTAAAATTTGAATGGGGAAAATGTTTCCAAACGTCCCTTTTAGCGCGGAATTGGTGGAATGAATGCTGGACGAATCATTACGAATGCGTGTATAAGAATCGGCATGCGCACCCCCCCCCTCCCAAACGATTCGAAACAAAGTTGCAGGAAGGAAGGAGTAGAGGAAGGAATGAGGGGGGAAAGGGGTAGGAAGAAAAATTATTATTATTATTATTACTACGACGACAACTCAAAGATTCGAATATTTCCCCCTACCCACCCTCCACCCCTTCCAAAAAAAAAAAAAAAAAACATTCAATCGTAATCGAACGAACGCGTGCACTTTTCACTCGTTACTTTTCGTACATTTCGTCCAAAAAAAAAAATTTATATAAAATTTCCTGGATGGATCGTTCCAGAACTTTCCGCGTCAATTTAGAAAGAAAATATCCCGGACTACGTCAACACACGAATGCGAAGCGCCGATTAAAACTACCACTAATGTTTTTTAATTTTTTTTTTTCGCCATGGAGTGGTGAATGAATCATCGCTGGAGAAAAAAAACCCCGAGTTAAATTCGGAAAAGTATCATCCGCCATTTCATTTTTTTCCTTTTTAAATTTTTATTCGTGAACACGAGAAAAAACGTTATTACCAACAATTTCTCAACGATCGTTTTTACTGACCTTTGACAATGAGTTCAACGAACGACTTAACCGTAAGAACCCACGTGACCTACCTACAAACCTTCGGATGTGGAAACGATACGTACCAAAGGTTCGAAAGGTACCTACTTTTTATAAAACGAAATGAAATAACGACAACAACAACAACAACAACAGCAGACGATACAAATTTACGTATATGCATGCATACGTGCGTGTGCGTGCGTGCGTGCTTTCGCGTGTGACGTCATCAATTTTTTCAAAACGTAAACACGCACATACATCGTTTTAATGTCTAACCCACACATCATCGCATTAGGGTCAATGCAATGTCGTCGAGAACGCGGCATTAATTTATACGTAACGCTACGTTAAATACATATTCACGAATGGGTATTTATCAATGGGGGGAAAAACAAAAAAAAAAGCGAAAACGTGCGGATTTCTCTCGTTTCCCCCATTGACTGAAAACCCTGGAAAGCTGGAAGCATTCGATTATTCGTAACAAACTCTTTCAAATGTACACACAAAAAAGAAAAACCTACTCGGTTTCCGAATCCATTTTCACAAAATCGAGTGCGAAAGAACAAAAGCACATTAGTGAAAAAATAACGAATGTTTTGCTCCGATAAATTGAATTCGCCATTTTTAATTTTTTTTTCAACTCTTTCTACACACACACACACACACACACACACACACACACAGTACATTAAAATTTTATGCTTTACTTCCTCTGCACAATAAATAGAAAAAAAAAAAAAAAAAAAAAAAAAAAAAGACACTGAATTATACACAATTTATTTCACAAACTCTTGTCTCCCTTTTTGCCTAGCTAGCCTGCCTGTCCCCCTACTTGCCTCCCTGCGATATGCATGAAAAATGACTTTCTGAACGCAAGCAAATATTACGCATAGTTCAAAATAAAGAGCAACGAACAACGAACACAAAAAAAAAAAAAAAACAATTTGTTACATGATTTGCAAATTATTATCATTGATAAAGAGCAGAGAGAGAAAGATAGAGAAAGAGAGAGAAAGAGAGAGAAATACAGAGCATCTTACATAAATGCCTATTGATTCCTTTTTTCAAACAAATGATACCACAGCCCTCTTCCCCCCCTCAAAAAAAAAGCTTACGAAAGGAATCCCCTCATAAATATACACACACACACACACTTTGTTTTAAACAAAGAAAAAAAACAAATTGACTACACAAACTGACTGTTTCTCTCTCTCTCTCTCTTCTTCCCATTTACAGGTTCAGGGTCAAATTTGTTTAACAAATTGTTAAATAAATTTTTTCAAGGGCTTTCCATAAATTAATGTAACACACAGAGAGAGAGAGAGAGAGAGAGGGGGGGGGAGAGAGACAGAGACAGACTTAGAGTCCATCATTTTCATTTTGAACAAAAATTTAACAATTCAGTCACAATTTCATGAATACATCAATTGTATAAAAGAAAAGTAAAAGAATTTCACCCCCCTCACCTTTCCCCACCCCCCCTTTTTTAATAAATAAATAAATAATGATTGATTGATTGATTGTTTAAAATTTTCATTCAGTATGTTAACAACATTCAATGGAATAGACACAAGTGGTGTAATTCACTACCTAAACAATTAAATCAAACACACACGCACACGCACACGCACACACACACACACACACACCACTCTCACATTGTTTGTTTGACTTGTAAGCTTCCACACCATGTTTGACAAACCACAAACAGTAAAACAAACATTAACATGTTGGGAAAAGGGAGAGGTTAACACACAATACCACTGACCACACCATCAATCATTCATTCACCCATTCATTGAATAATGATTGATTGGGAATGATTGGGAATGGATAGGTTAAGACACACAATACCACTGACCACACCACATCATCAACCCATTCATCGAATAATGATGAACATATTCAAGTTACAATTTGACAACAACAATAACACAATAAATACTAAACTACACAAACCTAAAAATATGACATGTCAGCACAAAACACACTACAAGCAGAACAAAACCCTAATGACCTTGTAGAATGAGAGAGAGAGAGAGAGAGAGAGAGAGAGAGAGAAACAATTGAAAAAAACTTAAATATAATTAACATGCATTGTAAGAAAAAAAAAAAAAAAAAAAAAAAACTCACAAAGGTATTTTTTTTCTAAAAATTTATTTAACGAATACTATTATTATTATTATTATTATTACGAATTCAAAAATAATAATAATAATAATAATAATAATAAACAAAATGGCGTCTCTGTTTTAAATCAATTACATTTGTGGGTGAAAAATAAAACGAGGGCGGGGGGGAGGAGGAGGGAGTCGTCGCTGTGGGATGCATACGGGCAAACAGGGAGGGACACACACACACACACATCCCGTTCGCGTTCCCCCTCCCCTCCCCACCCCACCCATCAATTTAACGTATTAAGTGTTTATCATCATTATTAAATTAAAAAATTTGTTTTATTAGATCCTATTGCATGCATGCATGGTTGCATGAACGTTGCAAAACGTCTACGAAACTAATATTAATTCGCTCAAGGTCAAAGTGTAAAATACAATATTCGAATAGAAACGTGAGAGAGAGAGAGAGAGATAGAGACTTACGAATGAGAAGAAGAACAAGTAGAAAAAAATTTCGAAAATGGACGAATGAATACACTCATCATCATCATCATCGTCATTTCGACCGTTACACTAATAATCAATATCGAAAACAACACAACACGTCGTCGTAATGAAAAACGTCACAAAAAATTTACAATTTATATACGTATAATTTTAAATGGCGATTGACAATTAAAAAAATTAAAAAAAAACTTTATCAATTTTTATATCGTTACCCGTTTTTTAAAACGTCATATTCGTTCCCGATTATTTTTCCCTGATTATTGAAAAAATCGATGGTCGCACTCGCCATTTTATGTTGTTGTTGTTTTTTTTTTTTTTTTTTTTTTTTTTACTCTATGAAATCTTGCGTTCGGTTTTTTTCGCCCCCACCCGTTTCCGGTGGTGTGAGGTAAAAACAACAAAAAACCGTTAACTGCTTTCGTATTCGCGACGTTCCGATATTCCATCGAAAAGTGTGCGGCGCGCGGTTTTTTTTTTTTTTTAAATTTCAATTTTTAGAATGTCCAAATTCGCGATTTTACTCCTCTAATTCGAAAATCCTTTAATTTTCCTTTTCTTTTAACGTTTTCCCCTTTCCCCCTCCCCCCAATTGGGCTCCCCAGTATATTCAAAATTAAATTTTATCATCGCCTACGTTTTTCGGTAAACAACCATAATAATAATAGTAATTCACGTAATGTTAGTTTAAACGTTATCAGCCATTTCAAAATGATTTTTTTTTTTTCTTTATCAACAAACGGTTGTTATAAGATGAACAACCAACAACCAACAACCAACAACCAACGACAATCGAAAAAAAAAAAAAAAATTTCTCATCTGAGGGGAAATAAAACGATTCTCACGTTTCTCCACCATTATTATTAAAAAAAGATAATAATAATAATAATGAATATAATTAATTTTAATTAATTAATTAATAATTTTAAAAAAAAAAAGAAAAAATTTCAACAAATGGCGAAACGATAATAATAATAATAATAAAAGACATGAAATTTTTT